AGTTCAATGGCTTGATACAAAAGGTAGAAAAGAGAACAAAGGAGGTAAAGAAGAGGGGGAGGTATGGGATGATTATGAGTAAATAGGTACGATAGAGGTACGATAGAGGTACGATGGGTGGCCCTTATTGTTGAGAGGATCGGAGGTCCGGGGTATGTAGATAGGGTGAATAGGCGGTAGGGTGAGCTGACAAGGACCTGGTTGTCTGATGTTGTAGTGTATCTGTGTATGTAGGCTGGTAGGAGGTCTAAACGTATGTACACAACCTAAGGTAGGTATGGTACGACTTGTGGTATGTATTGTACATAGTATATATGCACGAACGTATGTATACACTATATATGCACGAACGGCGGGGGACGGGATGATCGTGTTACCTATTCGACAGTCTTGATTCGTCCGAGGCCATAGTGCCTATAACACCCCGACTAAAACAAGTAAGTCTGATATAAAAAGCCAAGGGCGGCAGATGGAGCCTTGCCTTGCCTCTAACCTAGGAAGTTTGCGTGACAGACCTATTGTTCTCATATACCAAACTTAAAACGGCCAAGATACAATTCACAGTTGACTACCATGTAGTTGTGACAGTTTTGGCATCAGAATAGCGGTGGCATGATGGTCTTGTAACCGATATCCAAACTCGCCAATGAGAAGGTATCATGCACATATTTGAAAAGATAGATACATATGTATACATATAGGTATAATAGAACCGCCAAGACTATGACCAGCATTGATGTACAATACATACATACATACATACATACATACATACATACATACAAGATCTCGAATGGGTCGTATTCCATTCTTCGTCGCGGGACTTCACTGACAGCTTCCCCTTGTTCTCCCACCCGTTGAGAAGCGGAGCTTTCCTTCAAAGAACACCGCCCAGGTGCCGAGCCAAATTACCCCGGATAGGTACCTAGCGATCCGTATCATCCCCCGGTGATCCTATAGCCCTAACTGGTTTAGCGCCGTAGTCAACAAAACTCCAAGTCGAATCATTTGTTGTCTCGTCTCCCATTTTAAGTAAAGCTTACATGGCTATTTGCTTGGCGTCTGTTCTAGAAGAAGCTTATTAACATATATGTATTTGAACAAGAAAAAGGAGGTCGAGGAGGTCTACATACATATCATTATTTACGAACTCTTAGAACGAAAGCGGAATTATGCTATTGATTCATAATTAATACAGTATACATATAGTAATACATATTGTAACTACGATAGGTCGGTTTATAAAGAGCTCTCGGGAGTGTCTGGACTTTCAAAAAGAAAAGAAGAAAAGAAGAAAAGAAGAAAAGAAGAAAAGAGGGTTACGGTCTTAAGTGTCGGCGATAAGGCATCTGTGAGATACTCCGGCTACCGACGATTGCGCGGCATGGTAGGCCACCTATGACCCAGATGGTCTATGTATGTATCCCGCGTGGGTGTCCGTCGGGAATAGCTTCTGGCTACCTAGGAGTGTACTACATAATTTAGAGGATTGCGTCGGGCGTGTCTAGATTGTGTACTCTAAACACACGACCAGCAGAGTTATTGCAGAAGTTGATTGAAATATACTTTAATCCTTCGGTTACGTGGGTACGTCAGCGCAACCACCATATCAGTCTATAATCTTACCCGGGAGCTCCAAGGATGACGCCGTTGGAATGTAGCCTACTGGGAGCGTTTCTGTTGCGGCATTTCCCTACGCATCTAAAAGGATGTTATCCTCGCTACCGGGTAGCTCGGTGGTAACTCGAAGCGAGTCATGCAAGAGTTATCATACTGCCATGCTTAATGCATCTGGACTTGGCTGGATTCTGACCCTTGGTTCAGTTAGTTGATACCAACGTGATCACATGTGAGTATGGCAAAAGATAGTCGAAGACACTATGGAATATAGTATAGTAAGTATGCTCACATGTACAGCCAGCCCAACCTTTCTAGCAGAGTCAAACAGATAATGCTATGCCGTCTATCGCTTTTCCCATGTCGTAACTCATAACCATTTCCACGTAATGCTTCCTATCCAGAGACCTATCAAAGTACCTAAATCGGCCACCCCTTTCCTAGAAATCTAACCAGATATCATATCATAACATAACTAGCAATTAGTTTTCCCAACTTTTTCTCAAGCTACTTTACTTATCAACGCTTAGCTTCGTATTTCTAAGCTTCTCTCTTGCTTCCTTCATCCGATCATAAACGCCTTGCAAGTTATTCGTCCAATTCTTATCAACTACCAGGTAAACTAGCAGACTGACGGGGATGGCGACGCAGAAGTAGACCCAGATCGTCCCGGTGAGTTCCGAAACGTTGGTCGACATGCTGAAGAAGCTGGAGACGAAACTGAGAGGCGCGAATATCACGGCGAGATAGGTTAACCGGCCCAATGTTTTATTTTGCTCAACGGCGCGCCGGCTCTCCTCGATTGCGGCCACAGCCGTGGCGACTGCAGCGATGCGCTCCGCGCGAGACAAAAGGTCTTGTATGTAGTCGGCGACGATGGTGAAGTCCTTGTTTAGATCGTCAATGCAGTCTTTGCGGTTGGAGCCAGGCCGGGGGTCTGGGAAAACCTTTGTACGTGTATCGGCAACCATGGCCCTGTATATTGGAAGCCGCCGCCGCCATGTATGAAGCTTCTTAAGTGACATGTTGAAGTTCATGGACTCGCGCTGGAGTTCTTGCTTCTGTATATCGAACCATTTAGGGCTCTCGATTTCCCATTCAATCTGACCCAGCCGCGCAGTAATATAACGGCTCAAAGTCAGCCACTTACAGTATCTGGAGTTAGCAAGTCTTTTTCTCTATATAGTTTATCACATCGGAGTCTTGGGTAGTTTTATAAGAGCACAAAGTCCTATGGTACAGGAAGTGCGCAAGAAACCCACGATTAAAGAAATAAATGATTTTATAGGGTACACTCACCTCAGCACATATAATCTCCAGAATGCGGAAAGCCATCGCCCTTGGGTTATTTTCGATGGCATCGATATCCTGCTGAGATGTCTGTTGAATCCAGAAAATCAAGTCTTCGAAGAGATTGGTATTGGGGGGCACTTCATAACGCGTCTGATTGTTGGGCGTAGGGGAATTCTTGAAAGGCCGATACCCCCTCCAAAGAGGATATCCTTCTGTTATCGACGGATCGATAAGTAGAACCCCTATACGTATAAGCCAAGTATACGCAATACTCAAGCCAACTACGACAGAAATCATAACTTACCAACGGCTTGCTGGCCAGCTATAGCCGGCCTAATCCATAGAGACGCCTTACTCCTAACAAGGGCAACTATGGCCGACTTCTCATCAAATCGAGATTCATGCTCATCATCAGCGTCAAGCCGCCGAAGCACGTTGAACATCCCGGCCTGCTTCTGTGCTTTATTGAAGCTTTCTGGTGTTCTGAAGTATCGTGGTTGATTATAGGTTAAGCGGAAGTATGGCCGATCCCGCGAAACTATATCGAGGTCAGGGAGCTCGACCCACGGATCGCGAGTATTGTACCATGTAAAGTCATTGATGTGTTCTCGAAAGAAGAGAGGATCGATATCAAGCTTGGAACCGAGATGCTCAATGACATCTCGTGAAAGGTCTTCCACAATATATAACCGGCTAGCACCTGGTTCGGCTTGCTGGTCTAGACATTGGGCCAGGCTTTCCGGAGTATTCATATAATTGATAACCGGAGCTGGTTGCCCCGAAATGAAGTCGATGGACGCAACATTGGTCCGTCTAGCCCTCTCTCTCCGAAGACTGCTCAGCCGGGCGGGCTGTAAGTCTTTGATAAGCTGCCATTTATTAGGCGATGTTGTCACCTCCATCCATTGTGCAAGGTAGCGCAGATGAGGCCAGGCTGCGGACAACGACTTGACGTGCTGGAGATATGGCAACGTAGCTCTTAGATTATATTAGCCATCAGTCCGTTCAGCCTGCTTATAATTCGGGGAGGGGACAAACGTATCAATCTCCCAATCCTGCTCGTAACGAAAAGGCGGCCCGTCGTATACGTCTCCGTTGAAATACTCTTGAAATCTTTCCTTGCCAAGTCTCCCATCCGGAATGAGATAATTGGGATCCTCGTCGTCCCCGTCGTACTTACTAGACATATGCGCACTCCCGTTACCTACCGCTCTACCCCTTGTAAGATGCTGCATGACTTTAGTCTTGGAAAATAATGCAAACAAATCTTTATAAACCCAAGTCTCCCGTCCTATGTGTACCTAACATAACCGAGACAACTATATAGAAAACGTCAAACAAAGACCGAAGGGAGCCCCCTTAAAATGGAAAAGATGAAAAATGACTTAAACATCTCGGTAGCTGAACTTGCTGTTTTATGTTTATCAAGCGGGTCTCAATCTGCAAGACCGACATAATATATATGTACAGCCTGCGCCACACCTGAGACGAGGCTCTCCATGTTACATCGCATCTAATAGCCCATTCTGCAAATCATCGAGGCTGAGCTCTTATACGCAGTACTACATATGTAGAGCTGTAGGCTTTGAGGCATACCAGTGGAGAGAAACAATTCCACAAGGTTTATTTAATCATGATGATGAAGAACAGGACAGACGTCGAATGGAATTCGCACACGATGTGATGTATCTTGAGAGAATTATTCTCGCCATAAGACATGTCATACCACCACACCTCTTTAAATGTTTGCTTCCCGTGATAAGTCATTTATCTTTACTCCATAAAGGTAGGGAAGTACCTTGTGTAGAATGGATCAAAACTCCCCGCAGATGCAAAATGCGCCCGGCTTACGAATCAGGCCCAAGTGCTGCTTCGTTGCAACAAATAAAACATGGTCGAATTCAATGGAATGGTATACTGTCCCTAATGCCCCCAACGCCAAGTGCTGTGAACCTACATTTCCCAAGCCGACGACCTGCCCTGCCCAATGCTTGCTGCCAAATATCGATCGCAGCCATGATCGACTAAGGTCAAAACACATATGCCACTTTCCTGCTAATGGCCTTTCTGCGACCTGTCCTTCGGATCTGCTTCATACCACAGGCCAAAATATCTCAACCTTACTAACTTCGGAATTAATAGACAACCTTGTCTAGTCCGTCTTCCAATGGTTAACTAAACCGCTGTCCGAATCATCACTGCCCAGATATAACTCGATAGCATAGAGACTCATTGTAGCGGCAACATTAACCCAGCGCCAAGTATTGCCTCCCGAATCTCCATGTCGGAGTGTCCAGCCTTCTTCACCACCGCTGGCAGAAAAATGTTGAAGTAGTAAACTTGTATAGACGGAGATAAGGATAGAAGGTGAGAACCACGAGAGGAAGCCTAGAATGCGATTCGCCTCATCTGAATCATCCAAAGAAGGCTCCTGCAGAAGGGCACGCGCGCCTGATTCTCGTACTGCTGGAATAATACGAGTCGCGCAGTAAAATACGATTAGTCGATAAGTTAGGGAGATCATGACCGAAGGTGCAATGGTCTGGAATGCGGCGTGGAGGAAGCTTAGGGAGGAGTACACAGCTTCAGGCAACAAATTAAAGAGATGGACGAGAGTCGAGTAGCTCGCCATAATGATGGGTGGCAGGGGTGGAAACTCTGGTTGATTTGCAGCGGCAGCCTGGGCTTCCGGTGACTGAACATAATCGGTAAATATCTGATAGACGCATAGAACAACGTAGGCGAATAGTAAAGACGACTCAACGGGATTACCGCGGCCGGAAAGAATTCCTATCGCACAGAGAAAAACTGCTGAGGTAACAGTCACGCCGATGAGGGTCGCGTCGATATTGCTAATAGATGGGAATAAAGCAACCCGCCACAGGAAGTAGACGGCACTGGCAATGATAGAAGCGGATAGGATCAGGAGAATAAGCTAATATAAGTCAGCAGCCAGAGCTAGGTAAAGAGTACCTAAGGTAAGCATAACAAAAGAGACTACTCACAACCCAAGTGTCGCTTCTTCCACGATTCACAAGCCATCTCGAAATTTGACCTGCGGCTTGGATAACCAGCAGCGTACAGAAGCCTTCGGCAAGTTGGAATACGGGACTTGAATAACACAACGTCTTATCCCAAGTACCAAGAGTTACCGATTCTACGAACCCGCCATTGCCGAAGATCCAATCGGTCCAGGTAGCAGTGGGCTTTTGACCACCGAACCCACCGATTGTTCTCGATACCCAGTCGGTGCTGTTGGCATCAACAGCAAAATTGTGCAGAGACCATATCAAAAGGGTCGGAATGACAATCCACTGGGAAGATTGAAGAAACCTGGAGACAACCCAGCCTATGCGCGAGTTTTCGGGGGTGGCAAGCTTGACAGCGCTGTATACCAGGTAGAAACTGAAGAGCGACAGGCTGTAGGCCAAGCCGCTATCACGTCCGCCTACATCGAAGGAGATGGGTATGGATAGTACGATGGTCAACAGGAAGACGGAGCTGGAGACGATGCGAAAAAACCACCACATGGGCGCGATGGTAGTGGCTGCTGCCGCGCCGAGGTAGCGAGGCTTTCAGCCAGGGCTGTTGTAATGTTGATCGGTTCGTCTTCGGAGGATGCCGCGAACGTCCGTGAAGGAGGATGGTGATTGAATCTCTCGCCTGAGCGCGTCAATATCCAGATGTTTAGATTTGGGAGGTCATTGGCGATATGATCATGTATGGCTAATAGAGAGTCGTCGCGTCGAGAAGAGGGGCTCAGCTTGTCTTGTTCTTCCCTAGCCGGGCAAGTTTCCAAACCAAGGTTTTTTTTTTTGAATTTTGATCAAGGTGGCCCTAATCGAGCTAGGTACTAAACCGTTCTTACCCCCCGAGGTTTTTGCACTTGACAAACTGTACTTGCCAGCTGGTTTATCGCTTATCTGCACGTGGCTGAATGGCTTGCAAATATGTATGTATGTATGTACCAACCCTGCAACCTGCAGTTATCTGCCAACTTTGTTTCACCCTACCGGTCTCTTGCTGCAAGTTTCGAAGAAAAAAAGAGACAGGTTTAGAGAAAGTTCGTCTAAAGAAACTACAACAACAAAAATAAATATAAATCGTCAAAACCCACCGTAGTCAAAAAACTATCGAAATTTCACTGAGTGTGCTGGACAGATAAACAACCTTACGTCTCATTTTCTTAAACAGTCTTCTGTAGTCGGACAGAAAACCGCATGTGCTACTAAAAAAGGTCGCGTGTACATCATGCATGTACATCCCATCACTCATCGATTCGGGCAATGGCGCAAGGCACGGTTGGGTTAAATTCAGTAAAACCCCCCATAAATTATCTGCAAGCTTAATCATTCACCGCCCTTGTCACATCAGCCCAGCCTAGCCCCTCCCCCTGTCACGCCCCCTTGCCCCTCTTTAAGCTTCAACGCACATATCGTCATATCCTTAACTTATGTACGTCCTCTTCCGTCACATGGTTTGATCAATCTTATCAATCTATAACTAGTTGGTGTATACAAATCACTAGGTTACAAACTTGATATACTTGATATAACTACTACTGACGTAATATGGTAGTTCTATAACAGTGTTATACCTAAATCACTCAACTGATGGCTTGAGAAGCAACTCAATAGCAGGGGCTAATTGCTGTACTTACCATTATGTGGCCACAGACACGTCGTAGGAAAACACCTTGGTATAATAGTATACTCACATTTGAGGCACATTTGAGGATATATCATAGTTAGTCATTTTCGTTTAAGGGGCTTCTACAGTCCCTACCTACCTACCTGTACATCTTCTTAGCCATAGCCCAGAACAATTCCATATACAGTTGCAAAGAGAATGTAGGAGGATCCAATAATGTCTATCAAGGGGACTACCCCGAGATCACCCCAAGGCATCGTGGACAAAGGAAGACTACACGTACATATGTAGACAGGCCCTCGGCGCTGGGCGGTTAGGCTCGTAGTTTTTTGCGTAGTTGAATAATATATTGTTAGGTATCATTGTGACACCGAACTTCTATTTTCAAGCTCGTCCCAGGTCCCCCCGGCTTATACATACATGTCATCGTACCATTAAGCATACATGTTTACGGCACTAGCCGACGACTTGTAATTCTATTTCTATTACACATGAATATCAAAATGTGGATCCAGTTGAAAAATGCTACACATTCACGAACCATCATACTCAAAATTTCCCGAGGGCTTACAGAGAGGCTTCCATGGCTTGAAGGTGCGAGAGGTAGTCTTTACTCTTTGTTGCCAGCTAATCTCTTCCCTCGTGCCTACTGACTTTCAAGCTTCAGTCAACAACAAGATATTCATAACAATAACATCTAGATCTAAAGACCGACCGCACCCTCACATATACAACAAAGAAAAATCAATTCTCAGAAAGACCATGTCTCATTACATCGTGTATTAAAAATCCCTGATATCGAAGACCGCGCGGTGCAAGTTCGTGTCCTTCGCCTAACAAAATAGCGAAAGTGGACTTGGTCTAGATAGTATCGACTGTTCTACACCTATCAGGGTCCCCGGAGAAAGCATCTACATACGAAGGAAACATCAAGTCACCCCCTCTGTCCCACCCTTCTCATATGCCTGGGGTAAATGCCGCTCGGTTCCGAAATGCAGACCTAAAAAGAAGCCGCAAATGCCTACCTAGGTTAGGACCACAACTCCGGTAACAACTCCAGACCACCCCCCCTCCTGGTATGCCCATGCCGGTAACCCTCACTCAGCTCCATTAGCAAGCTTCTCCTTCCTCAGCACCCACTCCACCGCCTCCTTAACATTCGCCGCCGTGTGGTCGGGCTGATGCGCAGGCACCGAGCCAGGGACATGCACGCCCGTCTCGACAAGCACGCTCTTCCACTTGTATCCGCATCTGGACTTGAAGTCCTTGGCGCCGACGATATCGCTGCGCGGGTTATCGCCGATCATGTATACCGTGCCGATCTCGCGGGAGGGATGCAACTTCTTGCCGTACTCTCGCAGCACCTTCTCCGCGTAGACGTACGTGGGCTCCGTCGGCTTGCCGATGCTCGTGTACAGCAGGTCGCCTTTGCCGCCCGTCATCTCGTCCCAGACGCCCTTGAGCGCTGCCAGGGCGGCGCCTTGCGCGAGCCGCGGCTCGTGGTACTCGGTGCTCCATAGGAAATCCGGGTTGCAGAAGAACAGCTTGGGCTGGTTGTCCTGCTGGTACCCGTTGTTGGGCAGAGAAGGATCGCCGTTCTTGGGCGATTTCGTGCCGATAAAGCCGCCGGCCGATAGCAGAAGATCGGTGATGATCTGTAAGTCCAGGCCCAAGTCACGCGACGAAGACCAGAACATGATTGCTGATATCGGCGTGGTGTCCAGGATGTTGTTATTGCGCCCGTACTTTTCGTGATGAGCCTTAGTCATCTCCGGAAATGGGTGGATGAGTGGACGCTCGGCCATGATATCAGATGACGTGAGGACCTTTTTGAAGCCGTATTTATGTGCTAGATCTCGAATCTGGTCTCCATGGGCCCCAAGGACTAGAACTGTCTTGTCGCCATACTCAGACACGAGGTCGTAGTAAGGGGTATGCGACTGTACGAACTGTTTCGCGTCGAGAGTGAGGCCCAGCCGCTGGCCCAATTTCTCGACTCGTTTTTGTTCCGTATGTCCGCCGCCATTAGTTAAGAAGATGAAAGGGTCGTTGCGTCTCTGTAACAACCGAATAGTTTCGCGAGCTCCCGGGATTAACTTCTCGCCCCTGATAAACACGCCGTCGATATCAAATACAAACGCGGATAAGGAGTCCTTGGGTTCAGCCCCGTTTGCTATATGTAATCCGGGCATGTCTCCGACATAAAGCAAATGGGTTCTTCCTATCTTGTTACTATGTCTCGGAATTTGTGGGATTTAAGTTGCTCGAACGGTATAGAAGCAGTATTGATGCGATGTCGAGTTATTTAATTCTTTAAGTAACCTGTCGAACTTGTGGCCGTGCGATAAACACTAGAGACCGATCTGAAACCTGCGTCAAGCCGTCGAACAAGACAATGCACCCGAGGTAGGAACAGACGCTCATCAATCTTGTCTACCTGCGAGGGGAAGATATTAGGATAGGTATTAGTAGAGGGATTATGTAGGCACCCACCTCAGAGTGTTTGCCGGTTGGTCCCCAGTTGTGCTTATTGCTTATATTTTCCTGGGAAAGAACAAAGCCGTGTTTATGTTCATGACTACCTACCTACCTAACCTACCTATGGAATACTTTATTCGCTCCTTCATTTTTATATGCCAACCTTGGACGTTAGCTGCCCTGCATGTAGTCATAGTTTGACTCCGTTGGCCTGGATACAGCAACTTAGCCTCGTCTCTTAGCAACCCTGGATGGAAACGTAGAAAGGTAGGTACGTAGGTAGAGATAATCCTTTAAAGAATAGCAACAAGCCATATTTTTAACTTAGCCTAGAACTTAAGAATCTTTACGGTTTCGATGATAGAATTACTTCAGACGCTCAAAGATTACTAACTGCCGCTCAGACAAATTCAAATGCGTTGCAGCCCTCCTACTTATAAGGCGTAAGATCAGAATATTATGGGGGAAAGGAGCGAGAGAACGAAATCCCTCTATTCTTTTCATCATTCCGCTACCGAAGGACCCGGCAACGCGGGGGACTGTGATATATCGTAGAGATATGAATAGGTACGTTTCCATATGTACTTCACTGAAGCAAACGTGTTGGCTGGGTGGTTAATATTAGAGTTAAAATACAATTAATTTACATTTTTATATTATTTTATATATTATATTAACTTTTCTGGGTAGTTTTTGCGTTCCTGCATATTGTGACCACACATTTTTTGGTAGCTTTCCTGATTGGGAACATTTTGCAACAATGGACCAATCAGATGAGCTAATAGGGTTCGTATCATCAAACTAGGTACCTAACCTAGCACAAGTAATATGCACTCCCAAAAGAGCTCCAGTTTAACCTACCATTTGTTACTTTTCAACTAGCTTGTTAAGTGACAAGATACTTTATATGAATAGGCAACGGAATATCCACTTCTTGTTTTTACTATTATCGTCGAACACGACGTCTTAAGAAATCCATCGCATTCATAAACGAAGGTTTGACTATCTAAGCACACCTTTCAGTGCCTGCTCGTCTATGGGTACGAAGACAACCTCATCGCTGTTAGCTGCTGACCATAGGCACAAACGGCATAGCTAACAGGGGACACCCGGCTTGATACGCTAGGGTATAATATTTTATCGAGCCGATCCTAAGTAGTTCCCGTGATACGCTATGAACTACCTTACGGCTGAACCCTATTAATAGATATTTATTTCATTTCCCGTAATATAATCCTGCTTTTCAGAAGCAAACCTGAAGAAACGATATCGCTGTAATTCATAGCCTCATACGCCTTTCGGGGGGGCACCTAGCCCACTTCGTGTTGTTTGGTTCCATGCCTCCAGTCGTAATCTGTGAAATGATCGAAAGAGGGGGTATCCAGTCTAATGTTTTAGGCCGTTCCTTCTATAACGTAGGTGTTTTTTTTTGTTCATTTTAGTCGAGTAAATAAAACGCAAGGCGCGGAAAATGCAGTGAAAGATGCTGACCCGGGACTGGGTCTTCGGGTATTATTAGTACGTGATGAAAGTATACAGCCTTGGCTAGCGACGCTCGCTGAAATCTTCTCTGTTCCGGTCGGATTCTTGTACTACAGGGCGAGGAGGATTCTGATGAGGTTGCGCGTAGGGATGTTGGCGGTGATGATATGGAGATAGTTGCTCGTGTGGGACGTGCGGACGAATACCGGTGGGATACTCGTATCCACTGACAGGCCCCTGGGGAGTATTGGTATGGCTAACTGATGGTGTGCTCTGGTGACGCATGTGTCTATAACTGGGGTCGAGGGGAGGGTGACCTGGCCCCGAAGTTGGTAAAGGGGGTTGATAGAGACCAGCGCCTCGTTGGTTCGGTACTGGCCGACCGTCATAATAGTTATGAATGGCAGGGGTTGGTTGAAATTGTGCCGGAGGTACTGCACCTCTACCGTAAGATGTCGGATCTGTGAAATAGGCTGCCGGCATTGGACCGTAGTGGTAAGGAGGCTGAAAAGGAGGCTGATAAGGAAAGCTAGGATGGACGCTGCCGGCTTCGGAAAAAGACCGCTGGTGACCGCTAATTCCTGATGCTGCGCCCATTGGCTGAATTTGATTCCGCTGAGGACCTAGATTAGGCCAACGATTGTGGCTGTATTCCGGGGCTCTAGTGGTTTCATGATGGTAATATGGCTCCTCGGCACGGCTTTCTTGGATATTGCTAAAGCCTTGGCGATGGGGAAGAGAATGGATGGGTCGTGACGAGGCAAGGGCAGAATGAGGAGCACCGTATGGAGGTGTACCGGAAATACGCCGACGCTTCTCATCAGGAGGTAGGTGTGCATCTTCTTCGTGTCGGACATACGCGGGCTGGCTTACGCGACGCATCATAGAGCGTGGCTCGGGTCGAAGAGCGACGCCAACTGACTGAGAGCGTTTGTGGATTTGACTGCCAGGGCTACTTCTCTGCCTCATTATCGCCTTGGGGTTCGTGTCATCCGAGGTCTCCATGGAAATATTTGGGAGAATCTCTATGTCGGGAATCTGACTACTCTGCGTCTCTCTTATCTCGTTTCGCATGCGAGCTACAATTTCCTCGATCTCAGCCGTGGTATACCCACTTCCACACCTGGCACGTAGCCATTCAGGCACGGCAGTGCCATTCAAGACAGCACTGTCCGGTATATCGTCTCCTTCGTCTTCACTGTCTTCACGATGAGAACGCTTCTTGGCGGACTTTTCCTGGATACGAGTCTTCTCTCTTTTCCTCATAGACAATGACCAATCCCTGATTACTCCCGGCTGCCCAGTTCGCCTATTTTCGTCACTCCATTCCTGAACACGGCGGATCTGCCTCTGTACCAACTCACATTGGGTATCGGCCCAGTCTGGTCCGTTACGATAACGACTTCGTTGATAATGCTTGCGACAGTAGTGAACCCAAACTTTCGGAGGTATGTTTCTGGTGCACGTCTTATTCCTGCCGAATATGTGCGAAATGGCCTTGCGGAGTGAAGATCCCGTGTCGCAATCCTGCTGATACATGCAGGCTGCACTTCCATCCTGGGAAAGATGATTAGCGAAGGCTGGTGGAGGGGACATCGCCTCCGTGGTGTAGTCCGGTCGATTGTAGGGGCGAAGGTCAACACGGTGCGGAGGCGATATAGGACGCTGGAGCGCAACAGAGAGTGGAGGAAAGGTCCGATCAATCCCTTCCGTGACATTGAAATCAGGGGCGGAGATAGCCCTCTTATGTGCTTTGGTAAAATCAAAAGGGGCGAGACGATTGAGATCAGGCTTGGTATCTTTGGTGCTAAGGTAGCGTTAGCAGATAGAAAATACTAGATGTGACCAAGGCCAGACAATAAGCCCTTGGCTTATATATAAAACTGAAGGAGATATGATTAACAAGACCTTAGGAAAAGAGAACATGTGGTATCTCGACAGATGTTCAAACATCGTCATGTTGAGATGAAGTGATGATATGAGCAAAGGTAGTTTAAGTTGAAAAGCTTAGCACTTGAGATGAACCAAAGGGCATAATAGGTCTAATTGGGTATGATAATGAGGATTTTGAAGGTCGATAAGCTTGTATGTGTAGGACTAGATGTAAGACTAGCAAATCGTTGCACAAACTAAAAGTGACTGGTGATTAACCCCCTGAATTTGACCCATGACACTTGACTCGGGGATCGGTTTGACGATTTCCGTCTGATCAATAGACCAATAAAGAATAACTTAAACTCAAAGTAGCTTGTCTTGAATGGCTATTGAATAAAAAAAAAATAAGAAAGCCTACTCACATGGTTGCGTCTTGTCTATCAGTCCCTTTTGCACCCATCCTGCCTCTCGACATTAACATGGTATCGGATGGTGAGCTAGATCGTATCGGACCTATGGCTGGTGCTTCTGTACGAATTGAAGGCGGGGAAATGATTGCTTCATTTGCTGGTTTCTGGTTCGTACCTGGAGACCATATCTTGGGAATCGTAAGCTCGGCACGGTCGGATTGAGTGTGTTGGACTCCACCAACCGTAGACATGGATGAAATCCTCGAGTGGGATGATAGAGTTGACGAAGAGGAGAGGCTACTATAACTCTCGGAGAACTTGTGTCGTGGCGACCTGGGACTGCCCGATCCTGCAGGCGATGTAGTATTTGATGTTGAATGTACTGTCGCCCGAGTCGATTTGGTGTCTAGTGTTAGTGGGAGTGCGTATCCATCGGCGTTCCACGGCGTTCTACTTCGACATGGTAATCTCGATCCGTGTACAGGGGCTTTCTCTTGGGATGAAGTACGCGGAGAGGATGGATGGCCTGCCGTCGTCTCTGCCGCCTCCGTCGTTGACGGCACCGAGCTGGTGCCATGGTCCACGATTTCCCGTACATCCTTATTTGTTGCTGTTTCTCCTTTTACCGATGAGGATGAGGATGAGGATGAGGACGAGTTCAGCAATGCGGTAACATCCATACTGCAAGCAGCCAAGAATGTCAGCTCAAAATATAGCCCGTTTCGATGTTCTGGCTCCAGTCCACGAGGTTAAGCCGTAGACAACACTATGCCGAGAAGTTATAAAGGGACTTGTTGCCAGCCCTGCTGGTAATTATAAAGCGAACCACAAAAACCTCGACAACAATTCCCAGCCCGTTCAGATAATCGCCCAGCAATTTGAATTAACACGAGGCCTGCTCTTGGTTGAGTCTGTGCGTATGTTAATTGAGCTTCGCCCCAAAACGGCATATATGAAATGCGTTGTTCGTGTAGTTGGAATCCGCAATTCGTCGTCATCCGCCATTCCCACGAAAATAACGTATACCCAATAAGGGATTTCAGTGTCTAGGAATCGAAATACCCCATTTACAAGGCGAGTAACAACCTTCCTCACGTCTTATAAGTTGCTAAAGTAGCAGCCTAACCTATATGCCGGCTTGGTGGGAGGGTGCCTGATATGCCTGATGTGCCTGACTGTGTTAGTCCCGTATAGCAACACGGTAGTGATTTCCTTTCCTCTAGCGTAAAGAAGAATTGGTGTCACGACAATGCTATGAGCAGGTTGTTCCTTCTTTCCATATAATTGTAGGAAGGTAAGAACAAGTGACCTGGCCGAATTCAGATAAACTGTGTACGATGTGGGGGATCCTAAGCTTTTGTTGTCCGGGGAAGGTGTAACCAGGGTCCAGCAGGAGTAATAAAGTTATCGACACAGATCGACGCTAACATAAACTGACAGAAACTGACATAAACTGATGGGCTGTAAATGATTGAAACGATGGATGCGACTTTGCGTTCGAAGAAAGAAGGAGGGTGATGCGCTTTGCTTGCGTGGCCACTAGGTGGAAGATTCTCTTAGTAAAGAGAGTCGGATTATGGGGGAACCGAAGGAAAAAGCGACGAGAGTACTATTAGACCCCCTGTTATCTGATGGAGCTTGCCTGAAACGTCAAACTAGTTGCAGGCCCGATTTACTCTCCGTAGTATTTAATAGTAGTCTCGGCAGTTAAGAGTTAGTAATAGATAAGTTGAGAGCCTCTTCCCTTGGTCGGTCTAGAAACCCTCAAGGTCAAATATGGAATATGGTTCAGAAGTGTGGTCACTTTGGAGGTGTCAGAAACAAGACAGGATCAGGTACTGCCGAGGGGGGACGCAGGGGAGTCGGATAGAGATACCAGAGCGAAGATAGGACGACATCCACGGGTGGTATGTCCACGGGTGGTATGGCCGTTCCAGCAAGAGAGGAGCAAGGCTGTGCTACTGCTGTGTGGGACATAGGGGAGTAGCTGAATATGTCAACCTCTTGGGGGTGGTGTAACTTGGGGGTATCCGAAAAAGAAACAGATACTCGTCTCCGAATTTGGGCTCATGTAGTTAGGAGGTTAGAACGAAAGCTTGTCCCGGGTCCGAGGCGGAGGCCGATCAGAAGCTGTTGATGTGTCAATGGACGGATAGGCTAGGCAAAAAGATGCTTGTCACGGTTAACATGGCTTACAGATGATCACCATAGGATGAAAGGATATTATTTTAGGGCAAAGTTGCAAACTCTAGGTATGGGCTTACGTGGATATATCGATATATGCAATGCGCCGTCAGTTGGTGAAGTTGTTCCGCATACCCTAGTTATAGTAAAATCACGAATAAGTTCTCGAAATCCCTATGGTCGTCAAGGATCTCGCCTGCATCTTTTTCGAAAGCTGTATGGGAATGTGGGGCTTACAGGACGGGATAAGCCAAATGACAGCTCTCCAGGGTTTAGGAACGGCGTGTAAGTCGTTTTGGAGGCTACTCGTGTGTCAGATCGACGTGTTGTAGATCATGGCGTCAAACGTTCTATTTGAAATCGCTTCTCCGTGATCTTCACAGGGTCTAACCCGACTGGGATACCGTTGAACCGAATGCTGAGAATTATCAAGTTCGCTGAAGATTAACCATATAGTGCAGTAGTGTAAAATAAACGAAGACGAGATTGTATCCGAGATGAATAGACGAAACGATGTAATATTGTCAGATATATATCTAAATGAAAGAAAATCCGAGCGATATATAGAAAAGCATAAATTACCTAGGCAACCATTTCCAGAGTCATCATCCATCTAGGTTGCTCTATCAGTCAACTTTGTTTGTAGCTTTGATAAGTCTATATATGAGTATATTTTAGAAATGCAGTTTTCTCTTCAGTGCGTCTGTCACAAGGAGTTGCAACATCCACCCCGTATTACTTATTTATGGCCCCAACGCCACAACCAAGACGAAGCTATAAACGTAAAACCTATGATAGCATCGAGTCGTCGAGGTGGGGCTTTCCTAGGATGGCCCTTGTGTGCATGCACTAATACTCTTAATACTACCTATGTAGATCTGATCGACTCTGTGCAGTGCGTATGTACATGATTGTACATAGAAATGGGAATATAAATGAGAATAGAGATGTGTTATAGGCTTAGGTATTGTGAGTAAAAACGAAAAATTGATATGATCAGTACCCAGCTTAGTACTGCGATGTGATCGACGAGCTGAGACCCTCCCTAATGGGCCTGAAACCCTTATGCGGTGTTTGACGCTGAAAGGTTGCTGGCCGCTAAGATCTTCGAGCCGCGATTCAAGACCGGATTGTGGCTTGGCCGACAACAGGGTATTCTATATGCACTCAGCCCTCGACTCCGCCGGTATGTGCCGAGCATCATAAGGCAAAACCGAAGCTCACCGATAGCGTTTGGGGATTGTATGTTATTCACCGGTGAGGCTTTGGCTATTACTTCAGAATATTCAGAATAGAACATAGCACGGTGGCCTTCCTAAGCGGGGTGGGAAAAACCAAGCCACTTACCCTAACTGATACATAGGTATATAATAGGTAACTTCAGGATGTGGGTAAGCGCATGCTATTGTACAATAAGGGACAAGCACTCATATTCCTGGTAGTTTTCGATCGAACAGATTTTGAACGTATCCGTATTGGATTGATTGATTAACTACTAAGGTAGTTATACGGCAATTATACTGACTAAGATGTTTATAAGTCAGGCATTGCAAGATATACCTGTATATGTATGCAGTAGAGCATGCAGTAAAGCATGCAGTAGTGTATGCAGTAGTGTATGCAGCTAAGTGTACCTGGCATGCAGATATGTAGGGGCTAATTAGTGCTGCCCATTAGCGTCCCTGTCTACCAATCTGTTCATCTGATAGAATAACAAGCTAAGGTTGTTGCAGTAAGAATTAATTAGACGCAATGCATTGCCATTAAAAGCACACGTAATCGGACTGTCAAAAACCATATCTTCTTAAACTCAGGTAGCATGGTTGATCGAAACTCGAATTCGAGACTACATGTTTGGAGGTCTTTTGAGTTTAAAGGGTTGTGTCGTATTAGGAAGATGTACTGAGACGCTTAGTGGAGAGACCCTTTGGTCGTTTCGGTGGAAGTTTAGCAGTCCCAGCAGGGTCCAGTCTGGCTACTTCCTAGGATCCAGCATGTGATATGAGATAATAACAGCGGTATTAAAAAAAGAAAAAAGAAAAAAAAAGTGAGCTTTCGTCTTATCTGGAGTATTCTGACAATCCATCTATGTACTGACATCCACTACTGACATCCACCACTTACATCCACCACTTACATCCACCACTTACACCCAATGCTCAAGTCCTTTTTTCCTACCTATTAACTACTACCTACCTCATAATGCAAATACTGGCCTCGTGACCTGGTTGACCAAACCCCTTGTGCAGATCTCAATCTTTCTCCACTGCTGCAAATACCCGCTGCTTGCGAAGCGAACAGCCGAATCGAGATGCTATCAGTTTCATATGGGACCCCATGGGCTGCTGTTGCATCTACGTTTTGAATTCGTCTTCGCTACCATCTTTTTCATTTGCGACTAAACTCTAGAGTTTAGTTGCTTGCGTAAGAAAGCGTCCATCAGATGCGCAAAGATGAATCCGAAGTCCGTATTTAAAGAGCAGCCTCATGTCATATGCAGGCCGGAGGAGTCAACGTTGAACGAATGAGCTTATGCTCGAAAACAAGGTTTCTTGGCGGTTTCGGCTATCTACCATCTACCATCTACCATCAATAACATCCATACAGGTGTTGATGTCGAACTTAAGTTCCGGCTAGTTAAACAAAAGTTCTGACTTGGTCTCAAGTGAAAGGTGTCAAACTCTATCTACGAATCAAGAAAGCCAACCCTCGTAGCAGAAGATAGGAGAAAGAAATCGACACGAGATCGACATAGAATATTAAAATCGTTGCGGTAGGTAGCCTCGTCTACGAACTAAGGAGCCCCTAAACACCCGTCAAATGCGGCTGTCCTGGTACCTAACACAAGGGTATTTCTCCGAAGCATGTGCGATTGGACGGACCGTCTGACAACAACCGATTCTATAGCTCTGTGCGACCCGGGGGACGACCAAAGCCCCAGCCACGTCATCTGATGTTCGATCCCGCCGAGCTAAAGCACATTCGATGCTCATCGCCGGAGGGCTAGAATTTCGTTTAGTCGTACACGCTAAGTTCCTATTGACTAAACCGGACCTGCTCTTTTCAATCGTCATCCTCGGCATCAACACTTTGTATAGCATATACGTTGGTAGATATGACGGTTAGATGCTTTCGTGTGCTATGTTGCGTGCCTAGGTGCATCGACTTGGGACGTGATCGGGCGGCGAGGACGTGTTATGTCACGAGCGTGGACTTATCGAACAGACCTCTCTTATAGGTCATACCGAGGAAGAGAGGATTAAGAGCTAATTAAGAGCTTGGAATCGTGTCTTGCTCTGCAACTACCCTCAACGGAGATTTCGTGGCCCATAAACCGGTAGCTTACAGGAGGACCTTTTGGCCGGTTGTCGAGCCGGGTGCCACCAACCCTTGGCCGCTATGGTTTTACGCAAACACATGTTTAGTCTTCGGTCAAGACAGGATGTTGGTCGAAGTGCCTGGTTTCGGAGAGATCTGGTCATAGAAGCAAGTATCCGACAGATGACAGATCAAAAGTTGGTCTCGTCTCTTGCGGTCGAGAGAGAACTTGCATCACTAAGGTACAGATGCCGCTTCCCGTATTCACAAGTAACATTCCTCTCCGGACTTGGTTTTCTACCATGGTGTGATTTTTCATACATACCTAGGTACCTAACCTAGTCTTATTTATTTAGCGCAATATGCTTCGCTGCGTTCCGTAAATGTAGCTTGTGTAAGCAGAGATGCTAACAAATTAGTAAAAAAGGCAAGATAACGTATAGGTAATATATAGGTATTCAAGAGTTATTCACGTGCTATGTCCATTCCTATCTTAGAACTGCGCCTTTACACTACCTATGTACCTAACCTAGGTCTTAGCAATCAACAATCCATATGTCGCTGACTCGCTGACTCGCTGACAAATTCGTCCGTAGATTCGGCCGAAATCTCTTGGCATCAAGGTCAGGGTCAGATACATAGACATCTCTTCCTACCGAGCAAAAGGAAGAATACCCGTCTTTCAAGAACTAAACTAGTATTTTACCTATATGATGTTACTCTAAGTGTGTGTGTGTAAACCGTCTTCTCTCTTTACTTGATTGCAGTCCTTGTAGGGTTGTCACGGAGCTTCCCGCGCATAGATGCACCTTGGGTACCTGAGTAGAGTGCTAT